ACCAGGTGTTCAGAATTTCAACTCTGATACCATGCCCTCCTTCGTTCGGATTTGGATGTGAATCCTTAGGTCACTCAAGCTGGTGTGCTTTTTCCATGTGGACTTAGTTGATGCCTCACTTCGATGGCTGCTTGTTTGATGACAGGCTTTTAAGACACCAGATGCTATTCTTTCTGATAGCCAGAGACCATCTAGTTTCTTCACTACACTTTGCTATATACCCATATCTTCAGTGATCTCTTCATGAGGGCAAGCATCAAAGAGAACCATGTCATAAATGTCATAAGAACTACTTGTTGTTAGATTTGGGCTAGAATTACAAGCGCGTATAAAAAATGGATCCCCCCGCCCAGCTATGCATTAGCATTTTTAAATTTTATTTATTTATTTTGCAAAACAACTATTACCTTCATAGTACTGTCCATTACACTTATTACATTTGTCAAATCTGCGATTCCATTCTTGGAAACATTTTTCAAACTCATCTGTTTGGATGGTTGACAACACCTCCCTCATTTTTTCCTTCACCTCTTCTATATCAGCAAATCACTGTCTTTTCATGTCCCTCTCTATTCAAGGAAACAAAAAGAAGTTGTATGGAGCGAGGTCAGGTGAATAAGGTATATGAGGCAAGAGAAGCATGCTGGTTTTTTTGGCAACAACTGGAGCACTGAGATGGCTGCATGAGCAGGTGCATTGTCATGGTGGCAAAACCAGTTCCCCATCTGCCACAAATCAGGCCTTTTTTGTTGCACACTGTTACACAATCTTTTCAGAACCTCTAAATAAAAAGCTTGATTAACACTCTGACCTGGTGGCATGAACACCAAGTGCACTACCTGTCAACAGTTTCGTCCAGTCAGGAAGTTGACAGGTGTCCAGAACGAGGTTTGTCATCAACATTTCACCTTTTTTGAAATAAGAAAGCCACTCATACACTTGAGTTTTTTGCATAGCACTGTCCTTGTAAGCAACACTGTCTTTGTAAGCTGTGTTCAACAGTTTCTGCAGCATTATTCCCGACCAGGAAACAAAATTTCATAGCCGCACAATGTTCCCTTCAATCGGCCATCACACACACACACACACACACAAAAACATCCAAAACGGCTTTTATGAAAACAATTCACTTTGACCAGAGAGAACCTTCCCAGGAGATGCCACTGGTGCACTAACTCAGAGCAAGTTACTGGATGCTCACCTAGCAGGGGACAATGCATACTACAAAAGCTCTGCCCAGTGGAACTTTTTTCTGTGGTTATTTTTTTTTGCGGGGGCAGCGGGCACCCCCTTGTCAATACAATCCCCAAATCCATTCATATGCCTATGGTGTATATGTGTGTGTGTATACGTATATATATACATGTGTATATATAGTATATATATATATGGTTCCCTTTGGCGACATCATTATGTTATGATAGAACACTATAAATCATCCCTCTGGGGCATGACGTAGTATTATTGATAGTATCATTATTTAGCTAAAAGATAATTCAAAACACTGTTGAGAAAAGGACATTATATAAGTATAGGCCAGCTGCAGATCACAATACATGAATTGTTGACTTGTACAGATTCATCTGTTAAGTAACTCTCAATGACACTCATTCACTAAGGCAGAACCATGTCTACCAGATTAATACATGTCATAAAATGCAAGGAGGCCCTTGAAATAGTAAATATATGGCAGTTCTGGGCCACCTTTCGTTGGGCACCCTAAAAACAAGAGATCCCAACCAAAATCCAACGACCACCAATTCCAGACCTTGGGACCCTGTTTCTTAGCACAGCTAAATCCTGCCGTCACTATCACGCTGTAGGTTATGTTAGAAGGCCTCAAAGGCCAACTGGCATAATGGTATTTTTTATGTTTAGATGTGCCTAGAAATGCACTTGAATCATGAAATACTCTGTTTTTGAGATGGCTCTGTGTTTTAACACAGGTATTTTGGGCTACAGGTGTTACAGCTGTGCTTCCCAATAGTGAGAACGCACTTCCTCACCTTTGTAGGTTGCCAGCCTAGGTGATATGAGTAGTTAATGTGCCTGGCTCCTGCTTTAATTATCTAGTGCTGCTATAACAGATATACCACAAGGAGAGAGCTTTCACAAACAAATGTATTCTCTCACAGTAAGCTGTATTGGAGCGTTTTCTCTCTCTGCCAGCTCTCAGTTTAGCTGCGAGGTCCTTTGCCTCTGTTCAGTGTCTGTGGGCCTGGCATTCTTTGGACATCTCCATGTGTCTTGGCAGCCCGTGTACATGGGACTTCAAAAAGTTCCTGGGAAAATGGAATTAAAGATAAGGTAGCATTTCTACAAACTTCTGAAGTCTCGTTGTATATCCAATGCTAATCTTAGTCATTTTTTGCTTACCCATTCTCTCATGGTCCTCTGGTCCTCTTCCACACCCAGCCCCTGGCCAGATCCCACGGTACTGCGTCACATGCCCAGCATTTCTGACTCCCTAGGGCTGAAGTATGGCTGGAGAATGTGCTTTCCTCACTCGGGCCAGGTGGTCCCAGCCCACAGTTTGAGGTCCTTGACATGACGGTAGCCTGAGCTCTGGAAGTGCCAGGCCTCCTCGTGTTTCGTGTGCGGTTCTGCCCAGCCAGTGCTCCGGCCAGAGCCATGGCTCTTTGGTCCCTCTGGTGACTTAGGATAAGGCTTGGGCTGCTCAGGACATGTTTTTTGTTTGATTCCCACGTTCCCGCTTGCCTCCACCCACAGCTGTGAGAACCACTGGGCAGAGTGCATAGGGAGGGCGGTATTGCTTCTGAAGAGAGGTGACTGAGGGTAACTGAGGATGCTGGCATCCCCGGGGAAGGGCCACCCCCCCAGCTGTGTCAGTTGTCTCATTGCCTTGCACACTTCTGACTTTTCTTCTCTCTTTTTCACCCCTTTCCATTCTCTGCCATTCTGCCCTCTTCCCCTCTTCTCTGCCTGTCTTGGCCTTGATGTCCTGAGAGTTTTGTGTGGTTACAATTGAAACACAATTGCTCCTGAACTTTAGTGTGAGTGCTTGCTGGAATAAAGATATAGGCTGAGCAGGATTTTTATAATAGTTGGGGCACCCACAGGGTGTCTGAGTATTAACCCACACATTAGTATTTTATGGGAACATCCTTGCAGAATTGAAAATAACCCTGGAATTGGACACAGGGTATTCCCATTTTACAGAAAACAGACTCAGAAGTAATGCTGTGTGATGCACCAGAGAAGGTGTTTCCTATCTTTTTGTGCACAGGGAATCACTTGTCTGCTTCACGGAGTAGCATGCTATAAGCAAATGTTTAGTCTCATGGTTGGAGGTATTAGAAAGTTTCTGCTAAGATTTAAAAAAATGTATGATTGAATTATATGATTGTGTGGTATTTACTCCAGAAAACTGTCAGAAGTTTTATCAAAAGTTAAATACACATCTGTAGGCTACTGAATGAAAATCAAACCCACTGCCATCTAGGCAATTCTGACTCATAGGACCCTTTAGGACAGAGGAGACCAGCCCTTATAGATTTCCGAGGCTGTCAATCTCTCCAGGGCAGATCGCCTCATTTTTCTCCAGGTGAGCAGATGGTGGGTTCAAACTGCTGACCTCATGGTTAGCAACCCAATATGTAACCCACTACGCTACCAGTTTCCAACCAGAAATCCTCTTTCCTGCTTTTGAACTGAATAGCATACCAGACGATCTACCCCTAAATTGTTGTCAAGTTTCTCCCAACAAAGCGTTTTCTGTCCATCACAAGTGTGAAAGCTCTTCTCTGAGATTAAAACTCTTATGTCCTAAGATGATGGGCATATAAGAGTTGGAATCCACTTGACAGCAGTGCATAGTGGTAGTAACATCACCGTGGTTGACTCTTTATTGATGAGTCTCGAAGGAAGTTTCCTGTGGAGGTCTAACAAGTTGTGATATCTCTGTGGCCCCAGAGAGCCCATCAGCTGACACATTGATTAACGGTTACCTCTTAAGACTGCTGCTGCCCCTACGTGAGGGTAAGCACTGTGTTGTGTGTATGCTTAGGTGTGTCTTGTACCTAGCAGCCAGCAAACAGTGCTGACTGAGCCAGCAAGTGAAGGTTACTTAGGGAAGGATGTGGCGGATAGCCACGTCTGGTACTCTGCGTACTTGTCAGTGCTGCAAATGAGCCAGTAAAGACAGACCTCTTTCCACCAATATATGTTGTTGCGATGATTTTTCCACTTGAAGTACTACATGAGAAACTGGAGTTCCTAGCAGATTTCTATTGCTTTTGATGGAAAAGTACATCCATGGCAATAACGTGGGAAAGAAAGTAGGTAACACACAGGGGCAGTGGCAGCTGAGCGGGGGAATCCTCACCTCCTGCCCGGGAGCCCTGGGCTCCACAGGGGCAGTCAGCGCCCTTCTGTCTGTGGAGAGTGTTGGGTGTTGCTATGATGCTGACCAGGTTTCAGTGGAGCCTCCGGACCAAGACAGCAGGAAGAGGTGACTGCCAATCTACTTTGGAAAATCCACCAAACAGTGATCACCCTACGGTTGGCGACAGTCCATCCCATTGTGTGTGGGGTTGCCAGGAGTTGGGGGCTGACTGGACAGCAGCTGACCACTGCAGCATAGAAGGAAACTGAACAGTGTCGTGTCCATAAGCGCTGAGCAGAGCCTCCCTTTGCGCCGTTGATGGCGGTGGTTTGAGGGCGATCATAGCGTGTGTGGTGGTGGCAGGTCTCCCGTGTCTTGTCTGTCAGGACAGGAATGCCTAGGGATCTGAACCTCCCCACCCCACACTTCAGTTGTTTCCTTTAGACAGCCATCTGTCTTGGCTCTGTCTTTGCGCCAATTGATCCTTGTTAGCACGTCAGCAGATGCCCTGCCAGTCACTGGACACAGATGACTGTGCCCCTGCCCTGCGGGAGCCTGCAGGGGGGGGCTGTGGAGAGTCCGCTGGGACATGCGGGCTGGGTCTTCATTCAGCGCTTCCTTCTAACACGTTCGTCTGTTTTCCTTTTCTCCCCAGGGTAGTGACGGCGCTCGGAGATCCCCGCTACTTAACAGTGATGAACCCTTGGTTTATTTCTATGACGATGTCAGAACATTATATGAAGGCTTCCAGAGGGGCATACAGGTGTCAAGTAAGCATTCCCCCGGGGCGTCGTGTGATGAGGGCGTTCTGGTTTTCATTCAGGAACAAGTAAGAAATAAGTGGTTTCCGTTAAGAAAGGCAGATTTGCTCAGGTTACTTGCCCACTTAGTGTTGCCTAAGCCTCCATCTCTCCTTCCTTAACCTTCCCAGAGTGAGTCCCTGCAGGGGGCTCTGTGAACACACAGCCCCCGTGTAGAGCCTGTGTTTCTGGAGTGCCTTAAAAAGACCCAAGAAATTCGCCGCTGTAGAGGCAATGCCAACCCACAGGACAGAGTAGAGCTGCGCCTGTGGGTTTCCAAGACTGTAGCTCTTGATGAGAGTAGAAAGCCCTGCCTCTCCCCAGAGGAGCAGCTGGTGATTTTGAACAGCTGACCTTGTGGTTGGCAGCCCAACATGCAACCACTACGCCACCCAGGCCCCTTCACCTGTGCACCATTTGGTCATGATGGGCTCTGACACTTCTGGCAGTAAAGAGAGCCTGTTTAGTCCAACAGTTTTCAAACTCACTTGACCATGAAATACATGTTTGGCAAACTAAATACTGACAGCCCAAGGATGCAGCATTCCATCAGACACTCTGGGAACTGCTGGCTCACCAGATTGTACCTAATTTCTTACCATGGCACGAGAGACCCCTTCTTACCTGTCACCTCCTTTCCTGTTCACTCCCTCCCCGGGGCCCTCTCGAGAATCGTGCCGAAAATCCCACTGCAAAGCATTGATGGCCCCTGCTTTCTTCTAACCGCAAACGTCTGTGCACTTTTGCCTCTTCGTCCCTCCTCAGCCAGGGCTGTTGATATATTCTTAGTTTTCTTTTAACATTCACATCGAAGTTTACTTTTTTTTTAAGCCTTCCCAGTCTACTGTTTTCATCCTCACCTCCAAGTGAAGCATTTAATACCGCCCAGCATCCTGCACCTATCCTGTAATAGCACCGAGAGCAGGACACCCAGCGCTTACCTCCTTTCTGGGTGCCCGCTCTGAACCTGACACCAACTAGCTGCTTGTTAAAGCCACCCCTGCTCTCCTCCATACCCTTTTGTGTTTTGACCTCTTTCTACATGCTTATATGCCTGGTTGTCTCTGGAAATCGTACATAGGGCTCCTGCTTTGTTAATTTAAATCTTTTAGTAGGTAGCTGGTTTGTTGGGGTGTTTTTGGTTTTTTGCCACTCCTTTCACTGTAATCATTGCAGAGTCGGGGACTGTGTGGTCTGACTTTCTCTCTCCCCACAAGGTGTTGCGTGCAAGATGTGCCATTGTATTTACTGGATGTTGGTGAAATTGGGTTGCCTGTTCAGTGTGTTGGATCTTCCTGATCCCTAGAGGTGTACTTGTGCCTTGAGATTCCTGATACCCAAAGGTGTAGGTACTGGGGCTGATTCATTAAGCTACACCTTGCAGGCATAGGAAGCTTAGCTGACAGGAAAGTCAACTCACATAATATCTAATTTGTGAACTTGCCCAAAGTTCACGTTGGGGTTTACCTGTGATGGTAAAGATCCATATGGTAGCCTGGTAAGACTGCATGAAGCTGATGTAATCAATTTTGCTCATTTTTTCAAGATTTACATAAAAATGTATATTCTGCAGCTTTTGGGTACAGAGTGTTGCTCAAATCATCTATATCATTATTCATGCTTGCGTTTGCTAATGCTAACAGTTAAAACTGTGATTGTCAGACTGTTCACATATCATTTCAGTTTTGTCACCTTTTGATTTAAACATTTTGTTATTAAGCATATGCCTTTTACAATTATTAAATCTTCCTGTTGAATTGCAAAAAAAAGACTACATGAAGATGATGCAGTGTGTGTGTGTGACTGTGTGCATGTTGTGTGTGTGTGCGTGTGGCTGCATGTGCATGCGTGCATGTCCTTCACCACTGCCACAAAGCATGTTTTGAGTGTCAGTGGGGACTTCTCATATTTCTGACTCACGATCTTAAGACAAGTTTCATAGCGCTTTTTTTCTTTGCCACTTTCTGTACTTGGAAAATGATGATTCATATGTGAGGCTGCTTCAGAGAGATTGAAGCAAAGTAAGCCCCATCTTCTTAATCTGGGTACTGATTGGAGGCGGATTTGCAGGTCACTTAGAAACACCCCGCCCTTCTCTCTTTTTCCCATAGGAGCTTGTCACCCCAAGATTTTATTTTATTTATTTTTCCCCCCAAGATTTTATTTTCTGTTATAGGAGTAAGCATATAAGAGAACAAGCGTTAGCATTTGAATAATGTTGTCAGAAGCTTGTGGATTGATGGGGAAGTCAGCCAGGTTTCCAAACCTAGTATTTAAAAACCAAACCTAGGAAGCCAGTTGCAAAGCTTGAGCTCCTTCTTTATCACTGGTCCTCAGCCTTAGCTGCTCATTAGTATTAACGAGGGAGCTTTACAAACATACATGCATGCACTGAGACCCCATCCCTATCCAATTACCGTGTGTACTCACGTATAAGCCGAGTTTCCCAGTACATTTTTAATGCCGTTTTTGTGGTAAAACCAGGTGTCTTGGCAGATATTCAGGTCAGCTTATACTCGAGTATACACAGTATATCAGACCGCCTCTCACTGCCAGTGGAGTGCCTACCTGTTGGGCTGCCAACTGCAGGTCAGCAGTTTGAACCTGCCAGCAGCTCCACAGATGAAAAATGAGGCTCTCTGTATCTGTAAAGATGAACAGTCTCGGAAACCCCTGGGGACAGTCCTACTCTGTCCTTCAGGTTCGCGGTGCGTCAGTGGGGCCTAGGTGTAGTGTTTTTAACTTCCCCAAATGAGGCTGGAGGTTAATTACCCCATTTGGAGAAGGCGCCCTTGTGGCACAGTGGCTACGGGTTGGGCTTTTAACCACAAGGTCAGCAGTTTGAAACTACCAGCTGCTCCTTGGGAGAAAGATGGGGCTGTGTACCCCCATAAAGAGTTACAGCATCAGAAACTCATAGGGCCAGTTCGACCCTGGCTGTAAGGTCGCCCTGAGTCGGCACCACCTCGGAGGCAGTGGGTTTGGTTTTGGGGTTTGAGTAGGCATCAGAAAGCATTTTCCGTCAAGAGCCAGAGAGTATGTATTTTAGGGTTTGTGGGCCACGCGACCCTGTCGTAACAACTGTGCAGCCCTGCTGGGTGCAGATATGAGTGAGCGTGGCTGTTCCAATAAACTGCCCCTGCCTTCGATGTCTGCTGAGCTCTGTTCTGTTTTCCCAATGTCTCCCATCTTTATTACAGTCCCCGTTAACTGTCGAGAGTCTGAGAACAAAGCCCGCCTGGAGCTCCTTCCTGCTTTTGTCAGGACTGCTTTAAAGACCGCAGAGAAGGGGAGGGTCTGGTGGGCTGTTTCCCTTCCCTCCACACCACCTCCTAACTGGACCTCTAGCCAGAGCCAGGCTGGCCAGCTCCCGCATGGGGCCTTCTCTGCTTCCTTCCCACGTCCCTAGTCCCCTAGCCACATCCGATCCCCAACACCCGGACCAAGGACGGCGAGGCCACGAGTGTTTTGTTCTCCAAAAAGGAACATGGATGCTGTGGGCAGAGGGGAGATGACCGAACGCCCAGGGACAGAGCTCCCTGTGCGGGGTGCTCCTCTGCAGGTCACTGTTTAAACAGGGTGACCCGCTGAAGGGAGAGCTGCTCCGAATTAGGGAATGTTTGTGGCTGTAGTCAGCTCTGAGCATCTTTAGCTAGGCAGTGCTTTCTGTTACAACAACGCCCCACCTCTGGCCTGAATACAGAGATGACAGAGTGAGCAGCAAGTTAGCTTGAGAGCAATCTGTCGAGAGACACTGGTATGATGGGGCTTCAAAGAGTTTGTGAGAAAATGGAATGAAGTTGATGGAACTTTCCCATGAGCTTTCAGAAGCCTCCCTCATGTAATTTGCATAATTATCGTTATTGCAGTGGCCGTTGTCCCTAAAACCCCGAACCACTTGCATTGAGTAAACTCCAGCTCGTGGCCACCCCCAGGTGTGCAGAGTAGATGTGCTCTACAGGGTTGCTCCAGGCTGAGATCTTTCAGATGTAGATTCCTAGGCCTAACCTCAGAAGCAGGTGCCTCTTAGGGGCTGATTTCGAACCACCAACCTTTTGGTTAGTAGATGAGGGCTTAACTGAGAGTCCTGGCACTGGTCCTTGTCACTCTGCCATCGAGTCGATGCCCACCCACCGAGACCCTGTGGAGCAGGGTAGAACTAACTGCCTCTGTGCGTTTCTGAGACTCTCTTACGGGAGTAGAAGCCCTGGTGGCGTGGTGGTTACTCATTGGACCGCTAACTATAAGGTTAGTGGTTTGAAACCACCAGCCGCTCTGTGGGAGAAAGAGGAGGCTTTCTGCCCCCATAAAGAGTGACATTCCTGGAACCTCAGAAGAGCAGTTCTACTCTGTCCCGAAAGGTCGTTGGTATGAGCTGGCTTTGCTTCGATGACAGTGAGAGTTAGTCCTTAATGTGGAAACTTAACAAGACTTTTCTTTCTGCTACTTCAATACCTAAAGTTGAATCAAGACAAATCGAAGGAGCATGGTATCTCTTAACCTGTGCTCATAAACACCCCTGCATTCCCTCTCTTTTGACATCTTTGCTTGAATTTTGTTTCTCTGTAATCAGGGCTTCGCCCATGTAGTTAGGACTCTAGGAGATGGCGATACCTTTGATCATCAGAATTTGCGTATTTAAAACGATAGGTTTGTGTTCACATTCTGAGTTAGAGTACTTTAAGCGTCTGTAGAAATTTTGAAGACTTAACTCTTCTGAAAGTCGATACTAGGAATTTTTCACCACTCAGACCTTAACTCCTGTTATAAACCAGTAGTGTGTGAAAGAGAAATTCAGAAATAAGTGGGCTTCATATAGTATTTGCCTTTTCTTCTTTCAAAGAACCCTGGTGGCGCTGTGGATTAAGCATTAGGCTGCCAACAGCAGGATCCATTGTTCAAACCCACCAGCTAGCTGTTCCTTGGGAGAAAGATGAGGCTGTGTCCTCTCATAAAGACGGGTACTGTTGGCAACCCTCGGGAGCTGTTGTACCCTGTCCTCAGCTGTAGTGAGAACTGACTCTGTGACAATGGGCTTGTTGTTTTGTTTCCCTTTCTCGCCACTTTCCTGCTTTGTCTAAGATAGAAAACACAGCAACAACCGAGACAGCAAAGATCAGACCAAAACCTCAGGGGGAAAGCTCATTTCTAACCTGAGAAGCTGATGCTCTGGAGAAGGAAGTGCGATACAACCCACAATTTAGGACGTTTTTTTATACCTGCTAAGTTCAGCTCTGGTTTGTCTTTTTAGATAATGGACCTTGTTTAGGCTTTCGGAAACCAGACCAGCCCTATGAGTGGCTTTCATACAAAGAGGTGAGTCTTCTGGCTTGTCTGCGGATTGATTACTATGCGGCCTGTGGTGCTTAGACACCTTAGTTCTTGGAGCCATTAAACGTTAGAGCCAGGAAGTTTCTCGAAGGCCTGTGTGCTAGACTAGTTCAGAGCTTTGGGATAAATGTGGATGGTCTAAATCAATATTTCCCAAAGTGGTGGGTGGTAGCGGAGGGGGATGCTGGGATGATCCAAGGGGCCTACAAAAACCGATACCTACATTTCCTCCCCTGAATTATCATCTATAGTACAGAAGTGTTTTTATCGCCAGGGAGGAGTGAGGAGCCCTCGTGGCATAGTGGGGTACACGTTGGGTGCTAACCACAAGGTCAGCAGTTCAAAACCAGTAGCCTCTCTGCAGGGCAAAGATGGGACTTATACTCCTATCAAGAGTTACAGTCTTAGAAACCCCCAGGGGCTGTTCTCCCCTATCCTGTAGGGTTCAGATGAGTCAGAACCGACACCATAGCAGTGAGTGGGGTTTGGGCTAGGGGGGCACAGAGTCCACGCCCCCACCCTGAAAAGGGGACAGTAGGTCACATAAGTTTGGAAAACTCTGGTTTAAGTGGAAAGAAACTTGGTAAGAAAAAAATTCAAGAAATGTTCCTTGAAGTAGGTGACTCCTCTCCCAGAGCCCCTGGAGTTGGATTAAGCCTCAGCCGCTGCATAGAGATGAGCAGAGAAGGTTGCCTCCTTCATCTGAGTGGCCCTGTTGTTTTATAGAGGACGAAGCGGTGCCCAGGAAGCATAGGGCTTGTCCAAGGCCACAGCTGCTCAGTGGCAGAACCAGGACGCTCGGGGTGAGGTCTGTGGCCATTCAATGGGCTTTCCTGCTGATGGCCCCCCTCTCCCAACCCCCTGGAAATGGGAGACATTATCCCCAGGGCAGCCTCGGGGAGCAGCTCAGATGTTGAGAGAAGACTCCTGTGTGGCTGTCTGCTCACAGAGGAGAGCAGGAGTTCCCCTCTCCCCACTTGCGGTCCTCGCTGCTTCACAGCGACAACTGTTTGCAGTGCAGTCACTCAGCACGGAAATCACAGGGAGCAGAGCGGGACTATGTCGCTCTTTCTCTTTATCGCTGTCACAACAAATCCAGACGCCGCTGTTTTCTCCAGTCCAGCGGGGCCCTGAGGACACACAGGACCAGCTGTGCTGTCAGCGAGGCTGCCTTTTGTTCCCAGCCAGCTGTCCAGGAAATGGCCCTGTGTCCCTGGGCTCCTGCTTTTCCCTGTCCCTGGAGCAGGGAATCCTGGGACATTCATGAATACAAATGAACTCTCCCCTTCTAGGTTTGTGCTTTTAGCACTTGCTCTATTCAGGAGCCATTCTGCCTGTCTCACAGGGTCACTGTACCGTCAGACCCAACTCCGTGATGTTGGCTTTGTTTGTTTTGGGTTTTGGAATAGGAATGGGGTGTTCATTTGGAGCCCCAAGCCCACCCTTGTAGAATAGTGTTTCTTAGTCCACCTTAGTTTTCCCTTTCTCTGATATGGGGTCCCAAACAGCAAACCGTCGCCCGAGACTCGCCTCTGACGCTTGGTACCCCGAGTGTGTTGCCGTCAAATGGCGTGTCATGGGGTTTTCATGGCACACTTTTCAGAAGTAGAGCCCCAGGACTTTCTTCCAGGGCATCTCTGGGTGGACTG